ATATATATATAGCAGAAACAGGTACTGAATTGCTGAACCAACTGGAAAATAGAGATTAATGGGAGGGCATATTGACAATAAATATACTCTTATTGACTCATAGGACCCCATGAAGAGGAAAGAATAACTCAAACCCCTCCAAAAGTTTTCATGTTGTAGCATATGCTCTGCAGCTAGTATTCCAGTTCCCACTTAACCCAGTAGGTTCCATCCCCAGAGCTCAGCTGACATGTCTCCCTTCCGTGTTCTAGGAGTAACTCTGAGAGTGAGTGAGAGTAAATGACTTTCTAATTCTATAGCTCACTGGCTCTCATTGGTTAGCTTCCTTCCATTATCAGTTGATATCAATTAGACAATTTGCTTTTAGTTAGGAATAGCAGAGTAGGAATAGTTGGTATAAAAACATATCCCAAAAGTCCATGACATAGTCTCCAACCAGTACATACAAGGTCTAGGGGAAATTGGGCTCAAACTTGGAGTGCAGATATAACAAAGGGTCACAGCTTCTGGTTGCTAACAGTCCTTTTCTGCCTTTATTGATGTACTTCTAGAGCTCCTCTTAGGAATGGGACAAGTTCTCTGCTCAGCTTCTTGTAGAGTCTTAAAACTGCCTTTCTTCAGTGTGATCAGCTTGTCCTTGTCTTCCAATGTAAATACTTCTTTTCCATTATGTTCTGTTGTGTTGTGTTGTGTTGTGTTATGTTTTCTGTTATGGAGATGCTGCTAAGATGAGGACACTAATGGGAAGTCCAAAATCCTTTCATCCTCTGAAGTTCATAAGGTCCTTCTCTTGTTCTTTGTCCTTTGTTCCAAGTTCTCAGAAAGGACCATCACATCAAGGCCATGACATGCAAGTGAATCGGATTGAAGTGAGGGAAGGCTGTTCAAAGTCACCAGCTTCATTTTCTCCTCTGGAGCCATTGGGCCAAGTGGCAAGATACAGATCAGGGCTATTGGAGAGGGCCCTGGATGCAGTGGGAGACCTTGGCCTTTTTAAACTAAGGTCTTTAAGACATCTCAGTTTGATTGAGGCAACATTCATTCAGTGATTAAGGCTAGGTAAGAAATGAGGCAGAGAATGGCCTTTATCACCTAGTCAAAAAAAAAAAAACAATCTGGGAGGGGAAGACCTTCAGGGTCTTCCTCTAATGAAGTAGTGGAAGAAGAGGAGGGAGACACTTTCTTCCCCAGATATTTGACTGGAAGGCTTCCACAGGTAAACTGCTGGATGCTTAAATCCATGGGTTCCCAACTTGGCCAGCTATTTTATCTAAAACTCACAGAGCATGACCAGTCTTCAACCAATTCAAAAGTACTTCCTGTGAAGTATCATTTCACTTCATCCAATGGGATTTCAAGGACTTCTAAATATCAAGGTCTTTTCACACTTAGTCTAAAGTGATTGATTGATTCAGTAGAAGTATCTGGACCTAGCTCACACCTCAGGGTATGTCATCTAATTACTTACTCTAAGTGGGGAAAAGTGGTGACTGATTAACTCAACTGACACCAAACCTTAACATAGATTAATAGGATACTAGCAACATATAATCATAGCTTTAGAGTTAAAATCTGTCTTTCAAGTGAGTCTTCCTAATCCAAAAAAAATATTGTTTTTATTAATTTGGTATGTATTGATTGACTCCCTCCAAATTACAAGGCCTTGACCCTTGCTCTAACAATAAGGCCATATCTATCTATCAGATATTAATTCATTCTCTCAAGTATTTAATTTTTTTAATCTTCATATCCCTAGCTTCTAGCATAATGTTTGGCATATAGTAGACACTTAATAAATACTTACTGGATGAATGAATGAATGAATGAATGAATGAATAAGCAATTTATTATGCTAGGTAAGCCTTGCCCTCAATAGCTATAATAGCTTATGAAACTAGTCTTTTAAAAGGGATACTTCACGAATATTTTACAATTTTAGCAGATTGCTTTAGCTTGTAACTGACCAGACTAGATACAGGAGAAATGGATGCAAATTTATTTTGCCAAAGATCATATTTATTCACTTCCCAAACTCAAGAAATGGTATCTAAACGTTTAAATATACCTCAAGCTTAAACCTACATGAAGGTCCTAGGTTCACAAATAAATGGGGGAAAAAAACATATAGATAAGATGATCCTCTCTAAAAGAGGAAATTCATATTTAGCTGAAGATAGACTATATAAATGCCAACTGAGGATACAGAGAGAACCTTGGGGATCTTAGACTTGCATTGTGTGGCTATGATCCTTTGGAATAATTAATGCTGGGGTGAGGAGCATTAGCACCAGAGGGAGGGATGTTCAGAATAGCCAAAGAGAGACAAGAGGGAGATGAGCAATCAAAGAAAAAATGATCCCCTTGGAAAGAGGAAACATAAAGTGAACAGTTTGAAAAGTATGACAGTTGTCACTGAGTAAGAAAAGGAAAGAAGAAAGAATAAATGAGGAAGAAAAGAATAAGAAAGAAATGTGTTGCAGGGAAAAACGAAATGGATCAATGAGGGCTATTTTGCAGAAGATATCAGATAGGGTAGGAAATCACAATTCTAGGCAGTCCAGAAGGTCTCCAAAGAGAAGCAGAGGGAGGGATGGCTCTTCAGTTAGAGGGACTGGCAGGCACTGGAAAGAAATGTCTCAAAAGGAAGACTTTACCAGCTGCTATGGAGAAAGGCGGGAAGGTCATTCATGTTGTAGCTCCCAGATGTGGGGACCAGGCAGTGAACACTGACAGGACACACAATAGGGGAGACTAGGAAAGGCTGAGGCAAAGGAGAAGCATGCAAGAGAACAAAAATAGCTGGAGCCACTAGATGAAACAGCCAGAGCAGTCTGGGAAGGACATATTGAGTTCTGTGGGCCAAATTTTATATAATACAAACAGGAACATATCCAGAAAGGGTGGACCGGGGTAAAAAGGGTACTGGAGATGTCATATTAGGAATGTCTGAAGGAGCTGAGAACGCTTGGCCTAGAGAAGAGAAAACCTGGGGAGAACAAGAAAGCTGTTTCCAAATATTTGAAGGGCTATCATGATCTCAAAAGTTCAGTCTCAGGACATTACTGATAATGAGATTGGACTAAGACCCCACCCAGGTGGGGAAGCCATTGCGCTCTATTCAGATTTGGGTGCAGATAAATTCTTTGAATAGATTTCCCAAGGCTGGGGGTAACTTAGAAACAAATGACATAATCAAAGTTCATAGGTTCAGCTCTCCATTGTAATATTCATTCTCTCATGGATTGTTAACCAATCAGAGTTGATTGCCACCCTCAGGAACACTACTCTTCCAAGGGACATATAAGCCACAAACCTGCTGCCATGACTGTCTTTGGTCTAAGAAAGAGACAGCCAAATGGTCATCTTTTTACCAATGAACATGCTGGCACTATTAATAAAATGATTAAATTACTCAGAAATCACCTCTCTTGAACTTTTTTAAACATCACACTCTTATATAAGGACAAATTTCCCAACAAATACAACTATAGAGAAATGGATATATGTTCCCCATAACTAGTGGTCTTTAGAGGTTGGTTGGGCATATTATTGAGGCAGGTAGGTTGTGCAGTGGATAGAGTGCTAGCCTGAGGTCAGGAAGACTCATCTTCTTGAGTTCAAATATGGCCTCAGATACTTACTAACTGTGTGACCCTGGGAAAGTCACTTAACTTTTTTTTTTCCTCAGTTCCTCATCCGAAAATGAGCTAGAGAAGGAAGTAGCAAACCACTCCAGTATCATTGCCAAGAAAACCCCAAATGGGTTTCACAAAAAGTCAGATACTACTGAACCCTGAAATAATTCAGAAATATCATAGAGGAGATTTCTGTTCAAATTGAGGTTGGTACAGAAGGTTTTTGAGGTCATAGAGTCCTCAAATTATAGACTTAGAGCTGGAAAGAACCTCAGAGAACACTAACCCAACTACCTCATTTTACACATGTAGAAACTGAGGCCCAAAGAAGTCAGGTGACTTACCTATAACACAGGTAAGTAAGCATGAATGGTGGGGTCCCTTCCAACTCTGAAATTCAATGATTCTCAAAGCCACAAACACTGTGGAATTTAGACCTCAATCTCCTCTTCTTTCCAAACCGACACCTTTCCCCACCCAACTCACACATACATAGGTACCCACCTATGAAACTACCTGTGGCTTGAATGCAACATGGCAGATGCTATTTTTTATAAGCTTTTCCATTTTATTTTGATACATTTTTATGGATGACTTTTGTTATTATATCACTATTATTCTGAATGTGCCCCACTCCCATCCTCACCCAAGCCCCAGAATAGAATATTGTGATAAAAAAAAAAGCAAGTAAGCAAACCAAAATGTTGAATGCATCTGACAATGTATGTAACCTTCTACCTCATAGTCCCTCCACCCTTTCTGTTGAGAGCAGGTAGGTGTGCTTTATTATCTGTTATCTGTTTTCTGGAACCATTATTAGATTTTCTGTGATTCAGAGTTTGGCTTCCTTAGAGTGATTTTTTCATTTACACTGCTGTAATAAGTATGTATACTATTCTAGTGTTGCCTCTTTCATTCCACATCTTTCCTAAACTTTTTTCTATTGTACTTCAACAATATCTCATCATTCTCAAGCCTGCAAACAGCTTTACCAACCTTTACACACAGACGCAATTTGTTAAGTTTTAAAATACCAAAATAAGTGTCAACCAACGAAATAGCTCAAACATCCGTGCCAAAAGAAAGATTGTGCTAAATGATCAAAAGGTCATTAGTAAACTCAGAGGGGAAGGGGGGGACATGTCATTCATGAATATAACAAGACAAAAACTGACAACAGATCCAGCCTCCTCCTGTTAGTCAAATGCCTGCCAAAAACCTTCCCCCCCCCACCCTCCCATCACCAACAGGGAACGTGTTCCCTCTGTCACCCTTCGCAGCAGTATTCACATGAAGCAGCATTGTTCTGTCCCTGACACAGTCATAGCAAGCTCGCTGTCAGCCGACAGTGGGTGAACTACTTACCATAGGCAGTCTTCCCCTGCTCTATTTCTTGTCTCAGTCTGTTGTAATCTTCTTTAATGCTCTCCAATTTCCTGATGTTCCTGGCGCTCAGCACCAGCAGCTCGCTGATCAGGCCTTCCAGCCCTTCTCTCTCAGATGTTAACGACCTAATCTCCTCTGTGAGATCCTTGGCTGTAGAGAAACTATTCCCTGCAGCACATTGAGGGAGAGAGCAAAGGAAAGCAAGGTTGGTGACATTGGAAGGTTAGGCAGAGAGCCTGAGCAAGCTGGCACCACAGTCACCAAATAACAGTGGCAAAATGGGGAGCATCATTTGGAACTCAACTTCGCAAAAATCAGTGCCATAAAGAAGCAGCTTCCTTAACCATCCACCACTACAGAGAAAGAGAAAACACTGGAGGCTGTTTATAAATGGAAAGAACTGTTTCTTGCTTTGCGGGAAGTCCTATTTCACGTTGTTCCTCTTCCTTTATCCAATTGTCTTCCTAGATGTTCCCCAGGCTCAACATTCCCTCTTCCATCTCTGTGTTGTGTTCCATCATCCATCTCTGTGGATGATGGTGTGTGCCATCCACCAAGCCAAAAACACATGCTCTCCTCTCCTCTGCCTCTTAGAAACCTTGGCTTCCTTCAAGGCTCAGCTAAGGTGTTCCCTCCTATAGGAAGTCATTCCTGATTCCTCTAGCCCTTGGTTTTCTCCCTCTTCCAATTATCTTATTTTTTTTTAACAGATGGTCTTCCCCTAGCTTCCAAGTAGAATATAAGTTCCTTGAGGGAAGGAGCTTTGCTTTCTATCTTTCTACCTCCAGGCCCTAGCTTAGTGCTTTGCACACTTGGGGGAGGACTAGATCTCTGATTTCATTGTTATATGGCCCATCCAATGAATGTTTGTTAAGTGCTTACTATGTGCCAGGAAATGTGCTAAACGCTGAGGATACAATTAATAAAAAGAAAGTCAACGGCCTCAAGGAGCTTACAATCTAATGGGGGAAGTGGGGGGGGCGGCACGCGGGAGGGGGACACACAAAAAAAGGCAGGAAATGAGGGTGTGGGGGAAGACTATGGGGTATCCATTGCAGGGGCATCTTGTTCTGTGGTGCTGAAACCAGGCAGAGCAGTACACATGGAATGGAGTGAACCAAAAAGTCTAGTTTCTGCCTAAAGAAAGTTATTACATTTTCTCATTTCTTCTCTGGGACCAAAACTAGACATTATGATTGGGTAGCATTCCATTTCATCATATTGTTCTTTTCATTTACCTTGTTGTAGTAATATTATATATCGTATTATAAATATGCTTCCTATTTCATGATATATATTATACATAATATAATATGTTTATTATGTATTTTGTTATATGTTGTCATATATGAGCTTCTTATTTCATTCCACATCAACTCATATAAGTCCATGATCCTCTGAATTCTTCATATTCATCCCTTTTTAGAGCCCAATAATAATTGTATCGAATTCATATACCACCATTTCTTTAGCCATTCCTCAATCAATCATCTGGATCAGTATTTCAGTGGGAGAGATTCTCTACTGTGTATTCTAAGCTATCTAGTCTATTCTGTTATTTGTCTTCACTAATTATATTTTGAGATATTCGGATGATGTTATAATTTCCAGCCTAATACCTTCTTTTAAAAGTTTTCTTTCTCTTTTGAACCATTCTGAAATATCTAGCTATTTTTTCTAAGAACTCTGAATAATACACATGACCACCTCAAATCCACGCTATATGAAGTTCTAAGTTCCACCTCAGTATGAAACTGAAAGTCCTGTGATTGTGGACTCTGATTAGCATTCATTTTGCCTTATTTTGCCCAGTCTCAGGCTACAAATACATTTCCCAGCCACTTCCATGACATGCTTCCTAACTTCCTCTTCCTCTAACCACCATCTAACTAAAGCTGTAAGAATAGTAATAAAGTTCAAGAATAGGTCAATTAATTGCCCTATTATTCCAAACACTACTCTCTCCCTAACCACCACCTCCTTATGTATTTTCTTCCCCTAATAGAATATAATCACCTTGAGGGAAGGGACTGCTTTGCTTGCTCTTATTTGGATACTCAGAGCTTAGCACAGTGCCTGGCAAATAGTAAGTGCTACATAAACGCTATTTCAGTAGCTAGATGGGGCAGAGAATAGAGTGCTAGCCCTGGAGTCTGGAAGACATAGGTTCAAATTCAGCCTTAGACAAATTAGTAGCTGTGTGACCACCGGTAAGTCACTTAATCCTGTTTACCTCAGGTTCCTCATCTATAAGATAAGCTGGAGAAGGAAATGGCAAACCATTCCAGTGTCTTTGCCAAGAAAACCCCAACTCGGGTCATGAAGAGTCAGACACGACTGAACAACAACAAAATACTATTTCATTCACTGACGGCTAGGCAGAGTCAGTGTTTTCTGCCTGGGGAGAGAGAGAGAGGGAACATTATACTGAGTCACAATCATATGAGAAATGAGCAGGGATCTCCACAGTCAATATTGAAAGAGGAACCTAGGACTCTACTTGCATTGCTTGTGCATAGCTCCCAGGGTGGCCTGGGAGTGGGAAGAGTGACTAGAAGCTTTAAACATCTAAGCTCTGATTAAAGGCTTATACCTTTAATGGTTTTGCTGTCTTCTTATCCTGTGCACTCAGTTTTAATTACTTTAAATTTGGGACGTATTTTCTCTTTTAGAGGTTTGTATTTGGGGAGTTACCTGGAAAATAACAACTCTGCCATCTTGTTGACCACCTCCCAGTTTTCTTTCTCAGTCCCTTCACCAACTCACCTATCTCTTACCTTCCTCTCACACTATTATTCCCTGGTCAGACCATGTATGGAGTATTGAATTCACTTCTCAGACCTGCATTTTAGAAAGACATTGACAAGCTAGAGCAGATCTAGAGAAGACTGACAAGGATGGTCAGGAGCCATGTGATGATTAGCTGAAGGAACTGTAGTTGTTCCTTCTATATCATGACTTTCCCCATCTTGGCTTGGATATATCGCGGGTCAGCATAACAGATTAAATGGGAATTGTTTGGGAGTTTTGCAGAAGCTGCAGACAACACACAAAGGCCAGTAGACGATACAAAAAAAGTTTAGAAATGCATGAAATATGTGTATAGTGTTGTATAATACCAACCTATTTTATCTTTTAATACCATAATAATTCAGACTCCTTCTCTGTTATGATGGAGGGCCAAAAGATTTTATGGCGCTTTTCCAGATCTGTGCCCCTAACACTCACAGTGAGGAAAGGATAATTGTAGGTTGTTTAAGCCTTGAAAATAGAAGAGTTGGGAGGACATGATAGTTGCCTTTGAGTAGTCAAAAGGATTTGTTCTGTCCCTGAGTGAGCAAACTAGGAATAATGGGTGAAAGTTACAAGCTGGCAGACAAACTTAATGTGAGGGGAAACTTCTCAACAATTAAAGCCACCCCAAATTCAAATGGGCTACTTTGAAGCAGGGGAAGAAAGGGAAAGATATAGGAAGAAGGGAGGGGGGAAGGAAGGAGAAAGGTAAGGAAGAGAAAGGGGAAGATTGGGAAAGGGGAAAAGGAGGAGAATAAAATGGAGAAAGAAGAAAAGTATTTCCAGGAGTAAATGTGTTTGAAATAAGCAAGCCAGCAACAAAGCCATAGCACTCTGGGCTCTCCAGCAAATGGAACTCATTGCAAGTACTGGAGCCCAGAGTCCTTAATAAACCATGAGGAAGGAGAGATCATTAATTACAATCTGGTGCCATTTTTTTTATCTTGCGGAAGACGGCTTGGGAAAAAGTATAATACTCTATATGAAAGTTTTATCTCTGCAAAACGATTCCAAATTCCCAAAAGGAAAGTTTATATCAAAACCCAAGCTGTAGTGAAGTGGCACCCCATCCCCCACCATACAATTAATATTTCATAAGCATTTTGGCCTCAGATCTATGCCCATAAGGCAAACCTTGTCTGATGTAGGTCTTCACAGCAGCCAGAAGATGCCTATATCTCTGTGATAAAAATTCAGATAAGTAGACACAGATCTGTGCACCAACTACTGAAAATGCTATCAGTGAACTCCTGCCCTCAATCACAGTAACTAAAATGGGCATTTTTTTCTAAATGACACATGAGAATTGACTCCAGGAAAAATATGCTGCCCTGACTAGCAATGCTACAAGCACATTTGCTTGCTTTTTAGCATACAAAAGGTACTTGGGGATTTGCATGCATTTTTAAAGCATCTGTCAAAATATTTTATTTTGCAAATAACATAATTAAAATTCTCCAGGTTGACACCCAGACTGTTGTTCATTTTACCTACATCCTCCGTATCTTCATATTTCTGTCACACGCTATTTTCTAGGTGCTTTCCAATTATTTTGATCAGTCATTTCTTGCTACAACCCCCAAAATTGATCAGTACCTGATAGTTTCATTTTAAAGAAGATGAATATAGACAATAAACTGGGTAACTGAATGGCTTAGAGCATGGGAAGGTGGAAAGATAGAAAGATTTAAGCAAATTGTCCAACAAAACCATTTTTTACCTACCTAACTTAGACCTGAAATTCTTATCATCATTATTAGAACTTACACATAAAATATGTTTGGGAAATTGTTGAGGGACTTCAGTGATCCTAAGTTTAACACCACAAAAGCCCATATTTTTAATATTCTCCCAGTGATGTTACATGACTACAAATAATGGAATACTACAGTATTAGAAGGATTGAAGTTGTAAGTGATTTGAAAGGTAACCATAATATGTAACATGCTTCTTTGTTTATACCCGAAGGCTCTGTCCCGGGCTCACTTCTCTCTCTCTACATTATTTTTTGGTAACCTCATCATCTCCCATGCATTCAAATATCATCTCTATGCAGATGACTCCCAGATCTTTATAACCAGTCCCAATTTCCCAAACTAACTTGGAACACTTAGAATTGGATTGTCTATACATATCTCAAACTCGATATGTATAACCCAGAACTCAATATTTCCTCAAAACCCTCTCCCTTCTGAACTTCTTTATTTCTGGGGAAAGTATCCCTATCCTTTCATTCACTCCAGATTCTTCACCTCAGAGTCCTCCTCAAGGCAGCCTCCCTCACCTCACATATCTAATTGGTTGGCAAGTCTTGTCAATAGCATTTATCAGCACTTACTATAAGCTAGGCACTGTGCTGAGTTCTGGGTATCCAA